ATCATGAAGTCCCACTGCGGGAGGACGATGCATCGAACAATTCACTGAGCCGTTCATTTTGCACGGCTCGTCTCTCTGCCAGTGAATCGTCTGATTTCAGTTTTATGCAAAACACGTGCCAATCGTCTGGTCGATAACTCGCTCGACATTTTTTTTCTCCTCGACGTTCACGTCGCGCACATTTCCTGCAGCTTCGTCAGGATATCCTGCCTCTCGAGAAGCGTGGTTTACGGACGGTGTCGCAAATTTAAGGATATGAGGATCGTCAAGATCATCAACTGAAGTTGTCGGACGCGTTCTAAGAAATTGAGGAAGGAGAGGGAGAAAGAGAGATGCTACTTTAAAGTAGAAATATTTTCTTGGGCGTAAAATAGCTGGCACACTCGAACGGGATAAAAATATGGTTTTATCATGAATTTCAGAATCTTCAACTATGAAAGTTTTGTTAATTCTGAAATTCTGTTCTAAATAACTGTTGGTGGCTTGCTCAGTATTGCTTTTTCTCGAAGCTTTAACGAAAGAAAGCTGAAGCTAAAGAGAGCTAAGAGACACGTTTCTCTCAAATCGTGCTTATCGTAAAGAGAGGTGAAGAAGCGAAAAGCGAATCGCGAGGAGTTTCTAGCTAACGTCTTGTTCCCAAGACTGCTCGCAGTGGTCCTATCAGGATTTACGGGGACTCAGAAATTTGTCGAGAAATCTGCCCCACGTTGGGAGCGCTTCGTTGTACGGGGATCCTTTGAGAGAGATTCTTGGAGGCTTTACGACAAGCGCGTCGCGGAGAAAGAAATAGGTTCTCGCCTCGTAAGGGCTCGCAGGATTCGAATCCTGTTGCCAATCGCAGCGGGAGAATTCGAAACGGGTATTGGTCCCAAGACGAGCAGCCAGACACGCTCTTCGCGATATTGTCCTCCTTTTTATCTGTGCAAGCTGCTACATTCGCTTTAGAGATATTCCGTCGACGAAGCGAGATTCGCAAATGAAATAAAGAAGAGTGCGACAAATAATGGAAAACAAAATATCAGAAGATTGTATCGCGTTGATAATAGAATTAATAACGAGGTTGTAGCGCAATTGATAGAAACGTGCAGCCTAAAATATAACGATCTTTTTCAACGCGAAATATTATACAGGATGGGACAATAATCGTTACCACATCAAATATTTTCAGACGTAGGAGAAAAATGTATCTAACAAAAATTATTTATCGATATAATTATTTATCGACGGTCATCATTTTGAACTTTTTTTTACAAATGTTAATTTTTTCATCTAGTTGTTGATAGAATTTTTTTTTTTTCGAAGACGATGAATAGAGTGGCAATAGAAAGAGTTATTGCTTCACCGTGCATATTGGTTCCTCCTTCCTATATTTTAATTATTTCTGATAAAAAAAAATATTAAGTAACAATGGATCTGTTTGGTTTTACTGAAGGAAAAGAATTTATTTATTGGCTAGTAAAAGCTTAAGCACGGATGTGCCATTTTGAATATTAATATAGTTTTAATACGTTAATATTATTTGTGGGAAGGTGTACGTAAGTTCGTCCCTTTCAATTTTTTGTCGCAAAGTTTATGATAATAAGGAGTCAAATATAAGTCACCTTACGGGGAATGTCGATAAAAATGTCTGGAAATGAAAAGGTGGGTTTTATTCGCGTACGGTTAACATACAATTAAACAGATAACTTTTTATAAATAATATTAATATTCAAAATTTGTGCCCAGGCTTCACTCATAAGTAAGCTCTTTCATTTCCAATAAATTTCACGAACGTCGAACGAGCAGAAATGATATTAAAGTCGTGAAATTGGGTCTCGCTGAACGCGTCATAGGACTCGAATTTTCGCAGGATGGTCCTTCAGTGTAAAGCGCGCGAGGTGAAGATCAAATCAAATTACGATCTTGGGATCGAGCCACAGTCGATTTATCAAGTGGGACGCGATAGCCCTGCCCTCCCCCTCTTCGCTTTCAGTTTATTAGCTCCCTATCTGGCCGCAACAAGGACGACGCATCCTTCCTGGATGCAGGGGTCAGCTCTCGGGGTGAGATGCGCCATTGATATTCGGTGCGCGCGGCGGCCATCGAAACGCTTTTTACAGACGCAGGAAACGGGAGAACCCGATTCAACGGGCGCGATTATGGTCGATTGATTCGCAACGCTGCCCCGGCTATCCAGCGTTTCGGCTCGATTCGACGGCGAATGCGAGCAGAATGCGACGATGGTGGTTAGCTTTCGGGCCAGTGAACTTTTTGTTCGAATGTCAATTTCTTAAAGCGCCGGAACTGCGCTTTTATCGATTCTCGAGCTGAACATTTTCATTGTTTATTCGCACACGTTTTTATCGGGTAATGAGCATCCTGTGTTATCGCGGTGTAAGATTTGCAAACCCGTCGTATAAAAGTCGTCGCTTCTTTTAAACAAACGTTGAACACGGAAGGTTTAATATGCAAGCGATCCTCATTAGCTTCGCGGCAGATCCGAAACTGATATTCCGGGAGTAGGGTCAGGCATTGAGCCACTAATGGGTTTCTCATCATGGAAATGAGAGGCAGACATTATGCGCGGAATTTTTTCACGCTGATGGCAAAAATTCACTATTAAGTATGTTAATTATGAGACCCAAAAATTAAGGATTAATTCGTTAAATTAACTTCGACCAAGGGGAAATCTCCCCTATTTTTGTGCGCACGCATTTTTTTCTTTTTTTTCACGAAGACTGAAATAACGAAATATGTAAATTCCACGTACGCCTGGAATCGACGTCTACTCGTGTTCCCCGCGCTTTGCCTCCCTCCTTCGACTTTCGCCGTGTATATTGCAGCCGGCGGGCGTTCGCAGCTCGTAGTTATTTCACGTTTGGGAAACTTAAGCGATCCCGACAGATCCGAATGCAATTAGGACAAGTCTACTAGGCGTCACAATCGCCATTAAACAAACCCTCGCGCGAAAGCTCAATCAAAGCTTACCGGTCTCTCCGTCGTTCCGTGTCTCGCGAGCTGCACAATGCCATTCAATCCCGTTGCGAATTCCGCTTCGTCAAAGGCCGCCTCGCGATTAACAGCTCGCCGGCGAATGAAAATTGGCGGCCTTCGCTCAAATTAACGGCGACAGGCGAGACTTGATTAATCCCGACGCCATTTCCTCGCTCGATGAATGCGCGGCGGATTAAGAGCCGCTGCAAGCTCCGGGAAGACAACCTCGGCGCGGCATTTATGACGGGATTCGGCGAAGCCGGCGGCGGTAGAATTGGTGCAAGGGCCGCTGGGGGAGGAGGCTGGATATATCCGTAGAGTTATGGCTGGTATGAAACCCATAGCAAATGATGCAGGAATACGTGACTGGCAAGCGAAGTGTCGCGCTACGTCGGGTCCGGCGTCCCGGTTCGGTGTAGTTGCAATCAGCAACGTCCAGGGCGCTGAAATAAATTCAATAGAAACACGTCGCGTGTCGGCATACGCGCGGAGATACGTGCGCGCATGAAAAGTTGGACAGGGGCTTGATCTTCGGCCGCGAAGCGGTTCACGGTTTTGACCCTTTCACCGCGAAATTGCCTATATCCCGGGAACATGTTGCTCGGTTAATTTTATTTTTTAAGGAATACGTGATTTTTTCATCGTGGCTAGTTCCGCGACTGAGAGGGTTAATGTAATCCGATGATAATTCAGAATGAAAGCCTCGTTTTTTTCACGTTTTCATTGAAAATTTCGGCTGTAAACGAAGCTGCTATTTCGCGATCAATGACATAAGATGTTGTTCACGTGCTGAGAAAATACCGTTTACATAGCTGGATAGAAACTGATAAGAATAATTTGGATATTTATGAGAGTAGTTACTTAGCATATTCAAAGATGACTCATCGTCCGATTAGTGGCGAATTGACGGAATATTCATTCAAGCGATCGATATGTCAATCATCTATATTTATAGAATGTCTATGCGCGCATGGGAATGTTATATGTGGATCAGATTGATTTGGACAAACAGCTTGTTATAACCGAAACTGAGATCACATCAAGGCGCCGACACTGATGAATGCTGATATATTCAATCAAGAGGATTGGCGCGGAAATGTCGTTTGGGGATTGAGAGGGAGTAAATATGGCCGGCTACAAGGCTGCACATATTATCCACGTGAAACACGCTATAGCGAACATATTAGATCATCGTGGATACGATACATCAGAATTCCACCCCCGTCCTGCTGCTGTCGCCACGTGACGGCGCGTTCTCCATTAAATTTCGCGTAATAGGGCCGACAAGATGTCGGTTAAGCGAGGGTGCCGGCGTCGTATTCGAAAGGTCGATACTCCATTTTCACGACACGACTTTCGTTTCAGAAACCCGAGCGTCTTCCCGAGTCGAAATTTTGATTCTACGTTAACCCTACAAGTTCCGTCGAACTTGAAGAAGAAGGAATGAAGAATTTCGAGATTAAAACCATTATCAACCTACCTTGATGCTGCAAATGTTTTTGCATGTTGACTCTTGAAGAAGAACTTATTATATGAGAATTATTTGATATTCGACTGTCTTGATATCTTTCCTCGCATTGTATTATTATTGTATAATGTTTATTCTAATATTGCACGGATATCGGAATTTTTCGCGAAGAGATAACATTGAATATTGTAATTAGTATATTGCACATTGTCGTTCAATAATTACCCGATCGTCATAGGAACCATAATGTAATGATAATTGATGATGAGCGAAGTATAGTGTTATTATATATTAATATATTATTTGGCAAGTACAAATATGCAATTGGCGATGTTTGGCTACATTGAATCGAGGAAACAGAGAAAAGTAAGAAAATTAACAAAGAAAAATAAAGAAAATAAATGACAATCTAAATAAAGAAGTTTTCAATTAAACAAAAAGTATAATTTAAGAGACAGATCATTTCAGTTTATTATCGTGGAAACTTAGAAGAATTAAACATTTGTGTCTTCTCTCGTTCCAACAAGCGGAACGATAACGGCATGTTTTCTCGTTGCAGTTAAGTACCTGCGAGAGGTAACGCCATACTTCAGGAAGGCTTCGATCATCCAGGAAGTGGGCTGGGAACTTCAGCGCGGTTTCCTCAGCGCGACGCCGCCGCCGCCAAAGTCACCACCGCGAGCGGATACTCGTTATCTGCCATTACAACTCTGCAGACTCACCAGAGCGCATCCCTCTTCCGATCCCGGTAAGTCTTAACACCGAGGGCTTGATATGCGTAGGTGTGCGATTGGGGAAAGATTAATCTGCTGATTGTGCAGTTGGATCTGCGAGACCTCGATTAAACCAGCACCGTCGCTGTCGCCAAGAAGTCGAAATAGCGCTGGAATTAAGCGCTATTGAATATTTCATTTCTGTTTTCGTCGCTTGAAGCGGTTAACAGAAGTTTGAGAATTATATTAATTTAGCTCTGTCTCTTTAGAAATCAAAACCCAATTCAATCTCCCGAAATAATAATACACGCAGAAGAAATAAAATTATTAGTCTGCAAATTCATTTTGAATTGATGTGAAAATATTAGTTTAATAAAAGCTTCAGAATTGTATCTCAATGGGTATTTTGCTACAACATCAACTGGAAGAGGATTGTTAAATCTTCGTTATTTATATAATGTCAGAAGAAAATTCACTACAGCCACAAATTCGCGATTTTTTAACGTGTGCATTCCTGAACGTAACGCTCCGATCGGCAAATCTCTCCTTAATGAGAAAACGAACGAGAGAGAGAAAGAGAGGGAGGAGGCTTACAAACTCCAATTGCTCGTTAACTATAATCAGCTATAATTATACGTCATTGGAGAATTGTCTTAGAGAGTATTAAAGCGATTACCCCAGATTTAATCTAAAACTCGCGAACGTACCGGGGAAAACAAACGCGGAGGGAGAAAGAGAGAGATGGAGAGTTGAAGACGCGCATTCTATCGTCTTGATTAACGAAGTAGCGCAATCTAGATCGCGGCCGAAGAGTTAAGCGGAATCGGAAAGGATCTCGTTTACCTATTTGCCAAGCGACAGTGGTGGTGGCGGTAAATGGTCTCGCGGCATGATAAAAGTCCAGTCCTTCTATCGGCGACAGTCTCCTTCCGCTGTCTGCGCGGTGACAAACCGGGGGTGAGTTAGCACGAAGGGAATATCTCTCCTCCCTTGGGCCCACGGTGAGTTAATGAAAGGCGAATGGCTCCTTAATTCTGTAAAGCTTCTCCGTTCTTCTCTCCTCCGTTTACTCTAAACGCACTGTCTCAGCTCAGGGCCGCTGGCGCAAATTTTCACCCCTCGGGGGTTGTTAGCGGCGTCCCATATGTGGCGCGTGCAGTGGTTGCGTCATTTGAACAGCTTAGTTAAGTACTTCCATTTACTTCAGACACGCCGTCGTTTACCCCACTATAAACGCGTCGTCTTCCTCCGCGTTATTTTTTCTCTTCACCTGCGAGCGAGAGAACACTTTGAGAGAGAATCAGTTGGGAATATACCGGCGTTAACGCCATTCCTCAGAGAGAGAGAGAGAGAGAGAGAGAGAGAGAGAGAGAGAGAGAGAGAGAGAGAGAGCTTTCGATCAAAATTATATTTCCGGATAAAATTATATGTTCCAATCACACATTATGCGCTTAATCGAATACTCGAGACCACCTCTCTAATGGAGTCCCGTTCACTTTGAAAGCGGCGGTTCGCAACGATACGAACACGTCATTGTATCGGGGAAGCAGCAGCGAAGTTAAAGCAATCCTCGAAAGTAAAGCATTAAATCCGACCCTGGGACTCTTCTGGTCGGACAAAAGAAGAACCACGAGAGAGAATAGCTGCACTGTTAAGAAGAGAAAGCGGAAGGGTGGAGAGAGAAGGTAAGCGCGGTTGGCGCCGAAACGGGTAGACGGGACAATAAGGGGTGGTGGCTGTGCGAACTAAGGAACGCAATCAGAGACGTGCCGTATCTCTCGCCGGCATCTCTCTAAGCCGTGTCACAGAGTAGCGCTTACTGATATTTCTTAAAACCAATCCGGTGGCGTCTGCATTGCGGCATGAAGGTAGTCTCGTCCGATCGGTACATTATTGAATTCGCGCGGGAAAAATTCCGCGATAAAAGAAACAAAGCAGGAAACAGCATCGAGGAGCGTCGTGCCGATCTAAGGCGTATTTATGTGTCGCCCGTATTTTTAAGTCGACAACGCCAGTTTGTTAGATCGGATCTCGCGTCAGCCTCCGGGCATTGGTCACTTGTAACGATTCCCCCGGACAGCGAGTGCGCGAGTATTTCTAGTCAACGGTAAATTTTACGCTCGGTGCAGTAAATTTTATGCCGTTGCTGCGATGATGATTGCGTCATATTGCCCCCGACTGATGGACGTGAATGATAACGGCACGATGAATGGAAATACGTTGCGTGCACCAGCAAGCACCGTAACCCCTTTGCGTTGAAATGCGGATAAAATCTCAATGGTCTAATAATGGCGGATTAGGGAGGTGAATACATTTCCAACCGCCTACACATTTTTCCCGCCGCAACTACGTTTCTCCCGAGAGTCTTCCTAATCTGCAGCTGAACTTTCGCGCCAGAGGCAGTATTCTGGATACATAGCGGACGCCACGTAGGTCTTTTTGATTCTCAAACTGATTCTTAAATTGAAATAACGTTATACGTGATGTTTATACATACCGGTTATTCCGGAACTGTTGCATGTCTTTAACATAACAGACTCTTTGAGATTTTCTAAGATGAAAATTCGAGTATTAAATTAATGAGGCTACAATAATTTTTAAATTATAAGTGATTAAAGTTGACTAAGAGTACGGTTGTTCTTAATTGCACGAATAGATAATATTTCAGTGTATACGTAGTGCAAGTTTCATCGAATACTCATTAAACTCGTTTTACAACCTCCCTACGGATTTAAGACATCCTTTATATAAGAAAAAAAAAAAACAAGATTGGTTGAATTAACGCGACAATAAATGAGTTTCGGATTTTGATTGAAAGAAACGTAATCTCTTAAGAACCCAATTTGTAAAGACCAGAAATTGTATTCCCTTCAGTCAAAATGACATGCCACGGTTCATTACCGCGTTAATTTAACCGACCTTTCTCTCCGTGCATAAAAAATGATGCTCGAAATTAGAAAAGTATGTTTAGCGCTCGCTATGCGTCCGGAATAAGGCGCTGGTAGTGGAATTTTTATCTGGACTTTGAGCGGTACTTGAATTTCCACTACACCAGCTCTTGTTCCCGCACACGGGTGCACTTTACATCATCCATTGTGATGTTCGCGAGGTAACAGCGGCGAGAAGATGACAGAGGAGTGACACCGATCGCTGTGGCGCAACACCACGTGAAAATGAGCCTTTATGTAGCAGCGCGACCCCCGGAGCGAAAGGCGAATGAAAACGTAGCATGCCGGAGGAGGAGGAGGAGAGCGTAAAAAAAAAATAGAGGAAGACGGTTTCACCGTGCGCTGAATCCGCGTGTTTACACGATGCCCGGGCCGCGAGCATCATTTTGCAGCTGAAAACGTTCAGTTACACTCGTCGCACGTCGGAAACAAATAGCCGGGCCTCCATGCGTCGCCGATTTCGAGAGCCTGCCGGAGCTTTTCTGATCATGAATTGCAAAAGCCGGTGCTAGCAGCAACTGTCAGCACGGATTCGTAAATCGTTGAGATGAAAGTGCGCACACGGTGTTTACGAAGCCCGTATTTGACTCGGTTAAATAGGCACGGTTCAGGAAAGAACAGAAGAATCCAGACTGTGTTAGATAATAGCTGGGCGACATTTGCGTTTCGCGAGATTTTCTCATTATCTAAGTCATCTTATAAAAACTCGTCGGTCGAAAAGTAGGGAATTCGAAAACGCATGAATGCAGTCGTTAAGTTTTCAATTTAAAATATTGATTATTAACAAAATTATGGTATAAAATATAAATGGAGGCCATAATATCACATTCTTTTCCACTAATCTAAACTTTAACTATCAAATCAGATGAAGTTCTCCGTCGTTTTTAGTTGGCTCACTTTGTTCCTTCAATCGCCGCTTTAATCATACGTGTCAGTTATATGTTTCAGTGAACACACACATACATATATATAGAATGTACGGCATGTTGAATCGTGACGCACGTCTCGTCGGATCGCTTGCGATATGTGGTACGCTTGCCGGTGTTAATTAATTAACAATCGGCGCTCTTTGATCGCCTACCCGTGTACGGAATGTCCTGTTAAGGATGTGCATATACATCGGAATCGACGTCGGCGACGTAACGTCAGTAATCAAGCCTGTCGCCGTTCAAGCAGCCTTTCGAGATCTTGCTGAGTTTCCCTCTTCAAGCACGAAGGGTCCTAGCCGAGGAAGACGGCTGCTTTGCAAGCACGTGCAAGGTGCAACCGCAAGCCGCGCGAAAGCATTTCCTGCGGAAGCCTGTGTGTCCTCCCAAGAATCCCTCGAAGGAATCGTTTCTGGAACAACCTCCAGAGATAACCAAGAGTAATACCGTGATTGCGCAAATATTAATTAATCCGGGCCCTCCTAACTCCACGAGCAATCGCATTTCAGTAGTGGATCTTACATACAAGGATCCGCAGGTGTGATGAAATTAGGAATCCGAAATCAGAATAGGACGCGATAGACGGCGCGACAAAGAAACTGTAAAATTTCGTTCTACCGAGAATTTTTCAACATGAATTCATCATTTCTTCTCAAAGAAAATCTCGAATTCTGAAAAAGTCACGCATGATTGGAAGGAAATATAGTAAACCAGAACGTTTTTATCCGCTACGTTTAACAAAGGGAAGGTAGCCTGAATTACTAGTTGAAGCGTCCGTCTCGCTAAGCGAGATATTCATTTGACGGGGTAAATTGCACTCGAAAAACTTCAAATTCGTTAATCTCGAACTTTCGGCGCGACGGCTGCGCGACGAGGCCGCAAAAAGTGACCACGAAATAGCGTAATGAAGCGGTAACCGGACAAACTAATAATTCGTTACTCCGAGGAAACCGCGAACCGCCCTTCAACGACAAGAGAAAGAGGAGGGATTGAGGTGGGTGGTTCTAGTATCCCTGATGATCCTCGTCCGGCCGCGCCTCATTAATCAGACGGACGGCATATAGGGTGCAATTATCCGACGGTAATTAACTTCGCAAACTGCAGCGCCCGCGAAGTCCGGGAAGGTGGTGGTGGGAGGGACACGTGCTTCGTGTGGCACTG